ACCATGCAAATCAAGGACTGCCTGTACTTTAAGTAACATAAAACTCAAATTGCCAAAGTTCTTTCCCCTGTAGCCTGGAACTGGTTAAAAGGTAACTACAGAGAGGTTGGTTTTGGTTTCATATAAGTCAAAAGGCAGGGGAACAGACGAACTACAGAGTCAACAGAAAAGTTAAGAGTAACTTTTCTCACCAGAGTAAAAAGAGTTGAAAGAGTAGAGGCCGGCACCACGGCTCACTTGGCTAATCCTCCACCTGCGGTGCAGGCACACCAGGTTCTAGTCCTGGTCGGGGCGCCGGATTCGGTCCCAGTTGCTCCTCTTCCAGTCCAGCCCTCTGCTGTAGCCCGGGAAGGCAGTGGAGGAAGGCCCAAGTCCTTGGGCCCTGAGCACACATGGGAGACCAGGAGGAAGTACCTGGCTCCTGGCTTCGGATGGGCGCAGCGCCGGCCGTAGCAGCCATTTGGGGGATGAACCAACGGAAGGAAGACCTTTCTCTCTATTTCCCTGTCTAACTCTGCCTGTCAAAAAAAAAAAAAAAAAAAAAAAAATCAGGCAGCAAAAAAAGAGAAGTAAATGAAAGGCATGTTTGTTTGTTTGTTTGTTTTTTAAATCTAAAGTAGAGGCCGGTGCTGTGGCTCACTAGGCTAATCCTCCGCCTGCAGGAGCCGGCACACGGGGTTCTAGTCCTGGTCAGGGCACCAGATTCTGTCCCGGTTGCCCCTCTTCCAGTCCAGCTCTCTGCTGTGGCCCGGGAGTGTAGTGGAGGATGGCCCAAGTGCTAGGGCCCTGCACCCGCATGGGAGACCAGAAGCACCTGGCTCCTGGCTTCGGATCAGCGTGGTGCACCAGCCGCAGTGCGCCGGCTGCAGCGGCTACTGGGGGGTGAACCAACCACAAAGGAAGACCTTTCTCTCTGTCTCTCTCTCTCTCACTGTCCACTCTGTCAAAAATAAAATAAAAAAAAAAATCTAAAGGAGAAAAATGTAATCCTACCATCAAAAAAACTGTTATCTTGGGATATTTCAATGCAGCTTTTTTTTATTTTTAACTCAATAGAGGAATATGTTTACACATCTTTAACTAGGTACAAACAAAAATACATCTGAGTCCACTTCAGAGAGTTCATGGGAAATGGAACTGAAAGTTTTTCTGATGCTAAAAAATTTAAAATCCATGAAGTTTTTTCATAATGCCCATTTCCATGAACTTTCTGAATACCTGCATACAATATTGTGGCTTTTTGAAATTTCATCTTAGAAGCATTTTCCTTATAATACACTCTCTTCACAAACAGTATTTTTAGTGGACCAGACTCGTCCAAGGAAGCATTCTCCCTTCATTTGCCCTACCAGTCCCCTTCTAGTCCATGTGTAAGTGGCTTCCTTTTGTCTCCAAGTAGTTAAATGTTCTGAACATCTTTAGGCTGCTAATACATAGGTCCAAACTGCTTTCTTAAAAAGCACACACTGATCAATATGCTTTTTTTTTTTTTTTAATTTTTCTGACAAGCCACGCTGTGGCTTACATGAGAACATTTCAAGGGCTCTCCCCTTTCTCAACACTACACCCCTTCCATCAACCTCGTGATCAAAGCTTTAGAAAGGGAGCATTTCTCTGACAGCTACAGGCCAAGTTCTATACTGAATTTATCACGTTATCTCATTTAATCCTGACTCTGAGTTTGTAGCCTTCAGTAGTCATCAAGGCTTGCCCTTCATCCATTCATGCAACGTGCAGTCTGAGTGCCTGTACTGCGGCAGGTATTGGTAACATGGTAGTAAGCAAAGCAGAGCTTCACAAGACTATTCAGCCTGTCTCAAAGCTACTCTCAGACTTAAAAAGTAGCAACTCGGGGCGGCACTGTGGCTTAACGGGTAAAGCTGCCACCTGCAGTGCTGGCATCCCATATGGGTGCCAGTTCAAGTCCTGGCTGCCCCACTTTCCAACTAGCTCTCTGCTATGGCCTGGGAAAGCAGTAGAAGATGGCCCACGTCCTTGCCCCCTGTACTTGTGTGGCAGGCCCGGAAGAAGCTCCTGGCTTCGGATCGGCGCAGCTCCAGCAGTTGCAGCCAACTGGGCTATCACCCAGCGGAGAGAAGACCTCTCTCTCTGCTTCTCCTTCTCTCTCCGTGGAACACTTTCAAACAAATAAATAAATCTAAAAAAAAAAAAAAAAAGTAGCCACTCCATTTCTGAACTACTTTGATAATAAAGTTTTTAATGACTTCTATTATTATATTTCAAATACAATCCAGTCTTATCCACGCCCCACAAACCCACCTTCAGCAGGTTGTCACTACCTGATATCAACCTTATCAAAGAACCCTTACCCATTGAGGCTTAGCTACCACTCAGACATCCAAGCTCTCTCTACCTGAGGATTTATCAAACACTGCTCCCCTTGAGTGAACTTTCCCATCTGCTTATCACAGTGTTTCACATCTTTTCATCCTTTAGGTCTTAGCCTACTTGTCACTCCTCAGAACCTTTCTTGTGCATGTCATCTAAAATACTAGTAGCTTCTCCAGCACTGCTCTCTATAACAACTTCAGTTCATTTCTTTCACAGCACTTAGAGGTGCTGCAACTGTCTGTTTTATTGGTGGGCCTTTCTCCCTCTACTAAAGGTGTGGTTTGGTTCGCTTACCACTGCATCTCCACCACAGGGGCCAGGAGGCAAAAGAAATGGCAGATAACCTGTGGGCTGAATGAATAAAATGGTTTTCCTTTAGCTGGTATAAGCACTACCTTATAACTTCAACCCACTGATACCAATTTTATCCTCTCTCTTTCTCTCTCTCTAGATATATATACATACACACATATATATATCCTGGGGTACTTTGTAAAACCATTCTTTTCTTTATTAACTCTAACACTCACCTGGTTTCACTACTGTTGCTGAGTTTGAAAACAGTATCAGCAAACAATTAAGAGCACCTGGTTGGAATCTAAGCCCTAACACATAGGTATATAAAATGGGTCTCCAGCAGGCACTGATTATGGTGCATCAGTTTTAGTTGTGTGGGATGCCTGCAGCCCATAACAGAATGGCTGGTTTGAATCTTACTACTCCCTATTTCTGAGCCAGCTTCCTGTTCATGTGGAAGGCAGCAACTGATGGTCCAAGTATCTGAGTGCCTACCACTCATGTGGGAGATGAGGATGAATTTCCTGGCTCCTGACTTCAGCCTGGCTCAGCATGGCTATTAGGGGCATTTGGGGAATGAGCCAGCACGTGGAAGACATCATTATTCCATCTGTCACTCTTCCTTCAAACAAATAAGCAAATTATTTTAAAAAGTGGGGGGAGGGGCCGGCGCTGTAGCGCAGGTTAACACCCTGGCCTGAAGCGCCAGCATCCCATATGGGCACCGGTTCTAGTCCCAGCTGCTCCTCTTCCGATCCAGCTCTCTGCTATGGCCTGGGAAAGCAGTGGAAGATGGTCCAAGTCCTTGGGCCCCTGCACCCACATGGGAGACCAGGAGGAAGCACCTGGCTCTTGGCTTTGGATCGGCGCAGCTCCGGCCATCTGGGAAGTGAACCAGTGGATGGTAGACCTCTGTCTTTACCTCTGTAACTCTGCCTTTCAAATAAAAAAAAAAAGGTGGGGGGAGAAGAGTCTCACTTGTATCACTTTGGACAAGTAGACTCTCTACTACAATTTGCTCATTTGGAAAACTAAAACAAGATTGCAATTGCTTGACAATAGTTATTGTATATGCAAAGAATCAACACCTGAATATTGACAAAACTGCCATCTTACCAGGCCCAAAAGAAACCTACTTGCAAGCGGTAATGTATTTCTTTATTTCTCAAGACCTAGTTTACAGAAGTTTGAGCACATCAATATTTAAAAGCCATCATCCACAAGTCTGGCCAAGACACCTCTTTCTTCCACATATGCCCATTATACCCTGAAGCCAGCCCACCTGTCATTTATCCCAACAGTCATTTGACAATTCCATGGCAACACCTGACCTCTCTGAGCAGGTCTATCTTGTTCACCATGTTATCTCCAACACCTGCAACTCCAAACAGTGGGAAATTGAATGAACAAATGCCTCCGGGCCTCCATTTGCCCAGTGAGAGGCATTTTTAAAACTACCTGTCTGCCTTTGCCCACTACCCCACCGTGAAAATGTCATCAAGCAATCTCTTGTTCACTGCTGTATCTAATATCCCCTACTGTGCCTGCCATAATAGACACTTTGAAACATTCATTTGTGAAAGGATCTTTGTTTCAGTTTTTGAGGTTCCCAGTGTTGATTCACACAGCTTTCTAAGGAACTGGCTGGCTACCGACTGCAGAGCACAGCTACCTGTGCCTATGGATATATTTCCAAACCCTTGAAATAAACAAATTGTGCTTCAATGAGTGAATGACTGTGTCATTTTCTAAGATTAAAAAAGCAACACGGCTGGCCAGTGTTGTGGTATAGTGGTTTGAGCAGCAGCCTGCGAAGCTAGCATCCCATATAAGTACCGGTTCAATTCCCGGCTGCTCCACTTGGATCGCCTGAGAAAGCAGCAGAAAGTGGCCCAGTTGCTTGGGCCCCTGCACCCACGTGGAGATCCAGATGAAGCTCCTGGCTCGGTCTGGCCCAGCCCTGGCCATTGCAGCCATTTAAGGAATGAACCTGCTGAAGGAAGATGGATCTCTCTCCGTAATTCTGCCTTTCAAACAAAATAAATATTTAAAAAAAGAAAAAAACGCACAGCACGGTTACATTATATAATGGAAGCTCTTCTCTTTATGTAAGCGAACACGCGAAAGACAAAGACCCAAGCACCACCAGTTCTCTTCTCTCTTACATCCGAGCAGAACAGACGCGGCACTGGACCAGGCCCAGCGGCGGCCTGGGAACGCGGAGCCCAGGGTGACCCGAGGACAGTCCAGCGCGCAACACCGGAAGAAAAAGCCTGAGCAGAAACGCCCTCACGGACTCCAGCGGCGGATTTCGGCAGCCCAACGAGCCCACCCCACCGCCCTGCACTCACCACCAGTGACGCTGTGAACCCCGGCGGGTCCATCGCTCCGCAAAGCAGGTTAACGCTATAACTCGAGACTGAGCAGAGGCGAGTCACGGCCCCATGTTCTGCGCGCAGCCATGTTGGAGGCGGGGCTTGTCTTGGCTGACTTCCGGGATCCCGTGACGTCAGACCAAAACAACTGCACGTGTAGCTCTCGGGGCTCCGAGCCTGGAGGAGGGCGGGGTCTGGGGAGCTGTGATCCGGCCGAATCTCGCGGCTCATTTCTGCTCGCGTTTCCCGCCTTAGCCTCAGGATGCAGCTAGGACAAACTCTCGCGAGCAATTTAGACACTGCGTGAGGGCACGGTGATTCTAAATTGAAGAGGGCGGCTGTTTCAGGAGCTAAGACTTGGAGTTTCTTAGCATCCACATGGGTTATTTCTTGGTCTTAAATGTACACATTTTGCCTGCATTTCTGGTAAATGAACTCATTATCAAATCATTATATAAAGACAGAAAAAGATCTCAAAAATTTCCTTGAGTTGCAGCTAGCTTTCTCCTCTTACCAGCAGTTATTACACTGATTATTCCTTGAACTTATTCACCTGCTCGTCTGGTTCTCTTTTATTCCTGTGTACACCTGGAAGCCCCCGTTAATTCAAGTTTCTCGGAATGAGCACGTCTTTACACTTAAACAAATAAACGCTTTCAGACCTTACATACGTTTTAAGGACCAGCTGTCTTTTAATCGTGGTGTTAGGTGATTGACAGGCATTTTCTTATGTAATTCTCACACTCTATAAGGTAACCATTATTTTCATTTTACAGGAGATTCCAATGCTCTGAGAACTAGCAAACCCAAAGCTGCAGCAAACATAGCAGAGCCAGGCCTGAAGTTTTACCTGGTGCCTTCCTCACTGTTCCTCAAAACCCTCACAATAGCCTTGGCAGGCTCGTTGAGACCATTGTCGGAATCATTGCTCTTCTAGATAAGATATGGTCTAGAAACAATAAGAATCGCTTTAGGATTGTATGGGATTCAAATTCTGAGTTATCAACTACTGGGTTTGGGCATCGTGTTCTAAGATTGAGTCCCTCCCCCTTCTGTAACTTCTTCATATGATATTCCTACAAGTTAAATGAGATAATGCATTCAAGTCCTTGGCCTGGTTCATGGCTTACAGAAAACATTTGCTAGGGGCCAGCGCTGTGGTGTAGCGGGTAAAGCCGCTGTTTGCAGTACTGACATCGCATATGGGCACCGGTTGGAGTCCCGGCGGCTCCTCTTCTGAGCCAGCTGCCTGCTAATATGCCTGGGAATGCAGTAGAGGATGGTTCCTGCACTCACGTGGGAGACCCAGATGAAGCTCCTAGCTCTTGGCTTCAGATCAACTCAGCTCTGGCCGTTGTGGCCATTTGGGGAGTGAACCAGCAGATGGAAGATCTCTGTCTCCATCTGCCTCTCCTCTGTAACTCTTTAAAAATAAACTCTTTAAAAATAAACAAAATAAATCTTTAAAAAATATTCTGTAAAGATGATGGTAATACCCTTTCCCTGCTCAAGACATCTTCCCTCTTCAGCCCATGGGAGATGGCCCATGCTGTTTCTTAGCGTGGTGCACACCCTCAGCTGCTGTCTGCTGTCACCCTTACCACTGAAAGGACTACTCACAGAGGTGCATGCTCAAGCATCCTACTTTCCTGCTAATGCCTGAAGAACATTTCTTAGCCCTTTCCCTCTCAAAGCAATTTAGTTGACTTCCTCTTGATTCTTAAGATGTCATATGATGTGGGCTAGTGCTGTGATATAGTGGGTAAAGCCTCCACCTGCGGCACCAGCATCCCACATGGCTGCTGGTTCTTGTCCCAGCTGCTCCCTTCTGATTTAGCTCTCTGCTATGGCCTGGGAAAGCAGTGCAAGATGGCCCAAGTCCTTGGGACCCTGCACCGATGTGGGAGACCCAGAAAAAGCGAAAGAGGTTCCTGGCTCCTGTCTTCAGATCAGCCCAGCTCCAGTCGTTGCAGCCCTTTTGGGGCGTGAACCAGGGGATGGAAGATCTCTTTCTCTCTGTCTCTACCTCTGTCTGTATCTCTGCCTCTCAAGTAAGTAAATAAGTCTTTTTTAAAAAGTCACATGATTTGGTAAGGCCCTCCCAGACTAAGATAATTTACGTCTTTTCAATTCAGAGTCAACTGACTAGGGACCCCAATTACATCTGCAAAATTTCTTTGGCTGGATAATGCAACCTACTCACTGCAGTAATATTCCTCACACTCACTAGTCCTGCCCCCAGCTCAAGAGGAACAACTATGCAAAAGAAGTACAGTAGGGGTCAAGAATCCTGAGGGTCTTTAGAATTCTGCCTACCACATTTTTCCTGTAAATCCTCGCTGGCTGTGCTCAATTCCAGCAGGGTTCTATCAGTAGACTTTGTCTGACCGTCCTCTCACAGTCTTTTCATCTACCTACTGCCCAATGCTAAGGGACCCCCAAAGCTCAGGAGTTCCACCAGCACCCCATCTCCAAGGATCAAAACCTATCTTGTATGGGGGCCGGCGCTGTGGTGCAGCAGGTTAATGCCCTGGCCTCAAGTGCCGGCATCCCATATGGGCGCCGGTTCTAGACCCGGCTGCTCTACTTCCAATCCAGCTCTCTGCTGTGGCCTGGAAAAGCCGTAGAAGATGGCCCAAGTCCTTGGGCCCCTGCACTCACGTGGGAGACCCAAAAGAAGCTCCTGGCTCCTGGCTTCAGGTCGGCATAGCTCTGGCTGTTGTGGCCAATTGGGGAGTGAACCTCCCTCTCCCCTCTCCCCTCTGCCCTCTCCCCTCTCTGTGTAACTCTGACTTTCAAATGACTAAATAAATAAATCTTAAAAAAAAAAAACTACCTTGTGTAGTTCTGCATAAGAAATCACCCCAAAACTTATCAGCTTAATGCAACAATGCAAATTTGTTACTTCCCACACTGATGTGGGTCAAGAATCCAAGAATTGTTTGGCTGGGTGTGGGGAGCAACTGAGACTAGACTAAATTACTGGAACTAGGACTAATGCTATGCATCTGATCTCCCACAATATGGTGCTGGGGAGGAGTAAACAACTTCTACGCAGCTGCCTCACCAATTTGACTGATAAGCCGCAGGAGCTGATCCTGCTCCTGATTGGAGGAGAGCAGCGTGCTCGGCGTGTGGGTAGCAGAGTTGGGATTGGTGGAAGAGGACTATAAAGGAGGAGAGAGACAACATGCACCAGGAACATCTGAGCGACCCCTGAGCGACCCCTGAGCGAGCCGGCCGGTGGTGTGCCGCTCCTCCGCGGAAGCCGGGGAAAGCGGCGGGGGGGTGCCACCCCTCCGCGGAGGCGGGGGGGGGGGCGGCAGCTAACCTGGGACAGCACCGTTCCTCCGCGAGTGAGGGAACGGCAGCAAACCTGGGAAGAGCCGGGCAAAAAGAACAGCACAGGGTCTGGTGTCATTCCTCCGCAAATGGGGGAGCGACAGCTGGGTAGCTCAGACTCACGGTTTCTCCTGAAATTCCTCTATCATAAGACATAATTGGGACTGGGGAGGATACACTTCCAAGGGAGCTCGCTCCAAATTCTTGCTGCCTACTGGCAGATAGCTATAGTTCCTCACCACCTGGACCTTGCCACAGTACAGGCTGAGGGTCCTCATGACATGGCAGCTGGTTTTCGCCAGAGTGAGTGATCTAGAACAAGACAGAAACTACCATGTCTTTTATGATCTGGCCCTAGAAGTCACTCAAGTTGTCACACCTCCAATAGCCCATTTGTTACACAGGTCATCAGTATTTAATATGAGATTGGACTACACAAGGTATGAACACCACAAGAATCACTCAGTGGGCCAGAGTTGTGGCATACCATGTAAAGCCACTGCTTACAACACTGCCATCCCATATGGGTGCTGGTTCATGTCTTGGCTGCTCCACTTCAAACCAGCTCTCTGCCAATGTCCAGGGAAAAACAGCAGAAAATGATCCAAGTGTTTGGGCCCCTACTCCCCATGTGGGAGACCTGGATGGAACGCAAGACTTCTAGCACAGGCCTGGCTTAGTGATGGCCATTGCAGCCATCTGGGGAATGAACCAGTGGATAAAAGATCTCTTTCAGGGGCCAGCGCCATGGCTCACTTGGTTAATCCTCCAGCTGCAGCGCTGGCAATCCATATGAGCGCCAGGTTCTAGTCCTGGTTGCTCCTCTTCCAGTCCAGCTCTCTGCTGTGGCCTAGGAGGGCAGTGGAGGATGGTCCAGGTCCTTGGGCCCTGCACCCACATGGGAGACCAGGAAGAAGCACCTGGCTCCTGGCTTGGGATTGGTGCAGCACTAGCTATAGCAGCCATTTGGGGAGTGAACCAGCAGAAGGAAGACCTTTCTCTGTCTTTCTCTCACGGTATATAACTATACCTGCCAAATTAAAAAAATAAAAAGATCTCTTTCTGTCTCCACCTGTCTCACACTGAATTTCAAAATAAATCAATCAATAAAAGCAAAGAAACAATCACTGGGTGCTACCACATCACTTAAAACCACCATGAGTACAACAACACATTCATTAGGGTGCTTATATTTTAAAAAACTAACTGATATCAAGGATGAAGAGCTACTGTTACACTGATGTCAGCCATACAATATGGTATAACCACTATGAAATCCAGTGTTCCTCTTAAGTATTTAACAACAGAAATAAACATAGGTTCACACAACTATTTTTAAATTATTGTTCAAAGCAACTTTATCCATAATAGGCAAAAAATGTAAACACCCTCAGTAACCATCAACTTGTGAGTGAATAACCATATTATGGTGACTCTTTTCAATGAAATATTATGCAGCAATTAAAAAGAAATGAGCTATGGATACATGTAACAATGTGGATCAGTCTCAAAACCTGCTAAGTGAAAAAAACAGATACAAAAGGCTACCTTCCTTGCAATCCATTCAAATGAGATTCTATGAAAGACAAAATTATGACAGTGCATCAGTGGTTTCCAGGGGCTGTGGTAGGGCCAGAGATTGACTACCAAGGGGGCACAAAAAACTATTTTGCAATGATGGACATAATCACAACTGTTGTTATGGTGGAGGGTGGAGGGTGCACGGGTGTATATGTTTACCAAAATTCATTAACTTAAATAATTAAAATGGATGTATTTGTTAATGTAAATTATATCCAAGAAAATTTTTTAAATATATGAGTATCTTGCAGCATGATGAGGATTGAATAATATGTGTATACATGAAGAGTATGTAGCCTAGTGCTTAGCATATAGAAAATATTAATCTTTTTCTGAATTTTTCTATTTATGTTATAGATTCTAAATGTTATGAGAGAACGATAAATTATTAGGGTGTATATCACTTTGAAGTACTACTATACCACCCTAAGTGAATGTAGATCTTATTTCTACTTGCTAACATCTTGCAAG